GACAAGTAGAAAAAGAGCTGTGTAATGCCATATGGTATTTTTTACTGCTGCAATTACTTGGAAAAAATCAGTTTTAGGAAAAAGTCTACCTACAGGCTTTATTCTCTGAAATTTCTGAACTGATAGTTCTTCTATGCTCAAGAAACCAAGTTATTTTGATATACTGAAGCCTACAAGATAATGCATGTTATCTATGCTGGCCTGGCTAGATTGGGTTTGTGCTTCATTTTTAAATCTTTTGAGTTGACAAGGGAGGATCTTTCTACTGAGTGTATGTGTGTGTATACCTGTAACACCTTCAGTATTGTTTTATTCCATTGTTTATTACTTCCTCGCCTCTATGACCCTTCATGTTCGTATTTGATGAAATGCCTTTTGTCAAGTATGTCTTATTCTAGCCTGTCTCAGTCTTTCTTTTTGCTTACTTTTCTTTCTTGAAACAAAGGGCTGAATGGTCTTAAGTTTTCCTGAGCTGAGGGAAAAATGAATTGGGTTCTGGTTGAGTTTTTATTTTTTTTTATTTTATTTTTTTATTCCCAAATGCCTCAATTTTGCCAAGAATGAAACAGTAAAAAAAATAAAAAATTAGAGACTTCTTCTGCAGTATTTTGGCAACATAGTGCAGAAAACAAAGTTCTTTGAAGGGTAGATTTTCTGTAATGTCCACTTCCTGAATAGGTTAAACTGAAGAATAATTCCTGTAATGGATTAATGTCGTGTTCTTCCATGATGGAATCTGATCTCACTGCATCTTGCCATCAGCTGTTTGATTGAACTGCATAATATTTTTTTTTTTAACACAATTCGTCTCTTAAGAAGTTAAGAAACCAAGGCTTAAGAAAGCTTCAAATAAGAACTTGTGAATCTAAGTCTGGTTTATGTATTGGTCTAAGAAATATATGTATTTGCAAGTTTGTTTACAAAATTGCAATGAAAAGGGGAAGGTTGAATAGTAAGGAAAAACACCATCATGCACTGAAGTAATTAAACTATTGAATTGCAAAACTGTTAGGGTGTTTCTTGTATGTTACTTTGACGTCTGTTCTTTGTTCCTCTTCTGCCAACACATTTCCCAAACCAGCTTACTGAACTATCTAGAAGGAAGAACGTCAATGCTCACTAACCCATTTCAATATGCAGCTGCTGCTTGTTCAATAACTCATGTACTAAGGTTAGCCTGGCAGCTGCTATCAGAGATCTGAGCCTGAGAAAGAAGGAAGTTCAGATTTATTAACCCGTAGAATCAAAGCTTATGGCAGGTAGGACTGACTGCCACTGATTGTGTTAGGTCAGGTCACATCTGCGAGTTTGTTCATTGCCTTTGTATAGTTTGCTGGGTGCCAGCCTTCACATCTAAGCACTGAGGGGACCTGATACTAAGTGATCTTTCATAGACAATGATTCTTAGGCCTTCTGCCTGTTCCATCACCAGCATATTTTGCTGTTTCAACAGTTGGGATGATTCTGAATGTACTTATGTACAGAGTTCAATCATGTTTGGTATTTGGGTACATTTGCAACACAAAAAATGTTTCAGCCCTTTAGAGAGGTGCATGGTCCCAGAGGATTCAGGATCCAGGGATTTCCCCCCCCTCCTTTGAGCCCAGGTTGGTCCTGTGTTGCAGGATCACAGCCTCTGCCTCATACCTGCTGTGCATGCTGCCTGCTGTGCCTCAGGTGGTGTGGGTGGTGGCGTGCTTTTAGCAGCATTTCTTGTTGCTGGCATACCCGCATCAGTTCTTCCCATTACTGAAAGCCTTTTGCAAGTCTTCTGTCTGGTCCAAGCTTTCCCAGGTTTCTCAAGTACATTAGTAACCACCAGTTACAATGTCAATCCTGCTGAGTTATTCCTTTTCCCACCCATTCCTTTTGCAGGCAGCATTTCAGCTTCAGCAGGACACCTCGATAATTCTTCCCATGTAACAGCTCACTGAGGTCACTCAGACCAAAGTTTGCATAGCTGCCTCTGCACCTGTGTGTAGGGCCAGCCAGGCACCCACACTGTCTATTCTCCACTGTCCTCTTCTCTGAAAGGCATTTCTCATCGGGATTGTGCCAGCTATGCCAGATGGAATGCACCACTGCAAGTGCTCATGACAGGTTCTAGTAAGAAAGGCCCACAGATACCATAAGGTATTGACTGAAATACCATTTACTGGAACTTAGGGAACAGCATAGGTAATTTTACATCACTTTAGGGATCAGCAGACCTCTAGCCTTGATGTGGCACACTGCGGATCCTATTTGTGCCATGGTTAACTGACACTGTAAGAGTTTTTGTAGGATTTTTCTAGAAGTCAAGAACTCTGTTCATCTTTTCTGCTGCTGAGAAAAGGGATGTTTGTATGAAAAAGTGCTGCTTCACTTCAAGATAAAGACAAGGGCTCGCCACTGGTGTTATCACTGGAAGCCACAGGCAGTCTATCTGCAGCCAGCTGATATCTGCTGCACTGCACAGGCCTGAAAGTGAAACCACGTGTGCAGCACAACAGGTGAGACAGTAGCAGATCACCAGTCCCTTGATGTACAAGCCTGATTAGGACCACAACACCATTGCAACTCTATGCATAACAAGTTCGCGTTACCAATGAGCAAAGTTGCTTCACTATAGTGCAAGCTTGCTTCCTCCCCCAGCACCGATGTCCAGGGCCACTGCTTTTCCTTCTGGTTTTATTCTGCTGTATCACACTGTTAGGGGAAGGAAGAGTTGCTGTTCCCTGCCTTGTCCGTTCTAAGAATTCACAGAACACACCTAGGTATGACAAGCACCGTGTGAGTAACTCCGACCACATTCTCCTTTCGGCATCTTTTCTCATGCTCTTTCAGACTAGCACTCCACACACAGCCCATTTCACCATATCCATCCATTTTTAATTCATGTTGCTTTGTACTTGCTAACGCAGAGCATTTCAGAGTATGAGCTAACTGCGTGACTTGCAAGAGGAAGGATAACAAGCCATGCAGTGCCTATGACATCCCCAACTTCTTGAGGAGAAACACCACAGTCCAATAAAACTTAGATAAATCCTCTTCTGGAGGTTCAGGCAGAGAGGTATCTCAGCTCATGATGGTCTTCAGAGTTTACGGCAATGTTCTGTGATTCCTGTCTCTCCTGAGCTGTATGACGGCACCTCATCCATATCATGCTCAGTGTGTTGTGCTGTCTCCTAAAGCAAGATTGCCATTTTAAAACACAGTATTTGTATTATTACACTTCCACAAAGTAAAAGCAAGAACTCAATGCCAATGTTCATCTCCGTGTACAGGTGTCTATGCCTGCATCCTGTAAATGACAAGAAATTTTTCCTGCCACTGTCTCACATAACCACAAATGTAAATGTAAGTATAAATACACATACCTGTTTTGTTTTGTTTGTTTTGTTTTTGTCAGGTGGTGTTAGTTCAGTCTAAAAGCTTCCAGTGTGTACCCTGCTAGTGGTAGGTTTCCTTATGACTTTTCCTTTCCCCAGGAAACAGTGCAATTAATCTGAAATTTAGCATGTTCCTTTCTCCTCCTTCTTTGAACCAAGAAGTGTGTGAACACTGCAACCTGCACAAGTGTTTCCTTCCTCTTCCCAGCTCAAAGGCTGCAGATTGGAACTGCATCTCATGGAAAACTAATAACGGAAGAATAGAAGGCTACAAGGGAGGAGCATGTGAAATCAGGTCCCCAAAATCTTTTGAACTGCTGTTGAATCTTCTTGTCTGTTTTATCATGTACAATATTTTCAGAGGCGTTTACACTTTAAGCTGGTTAGATGTCCTCTTTAATTGCAGGCATAGCTGCAAATACAGTAGACAATAAGAAATTAGCTGAACTGATGATTCTCTGGGCTGTGACTGATGACATCTTGTGGAAAAAAAAAGACTTTTCTAACCTAATAAAGGCATGAAAATTGTGTATAGGAAAACCATCATCTTCAGGGAAACATAGATCAGAATGTAATGATCTGAAAAGAAACAAATTCAGACTCATACCAATAATATTGCTATTATTAGATCAAAGTAGTCAAAAATTTTTATATTCATATACATATCCAGGCTTTTAAGCACCAATATTTTGCAGAATGAACTATTAGTGACTCAAAATATGAATGTATGTAAAAGTAAGCAACCCTATTGAAAGCAAAGACCTTGAAAGAAAAGGAACAAGATAATATCAGAGCTCCCAAGACTGCATACACAAATCTCCTGTTTTTAATGTTAAACTACATAATAATCTAATGAAGCTGCCCACAAATGATAATGTAGGTGGGGCTGTCTTTAAGCTATATATAAGACTACAAGAACTATTTTTTTCCCTGTATTTCCGCTACTTCAGAATCAGGTATGCAACATTATTTATGCTGGTATCCTACACCGTGCTTCTACAGATGCAAACACTGCCTTATTGTCATTAAAGGTGATTGTATTTTAGGATGTGGTTTAAGATTTTGTTGATTGTTTAATTATTTTGGTTACTTTCATTTGAGGACTGAATGTTGAATTTGGAAGTAGCAATAGCAAAGTGCTTACATCAATTTAGCTGAATATAATGAAGCATAAGTATTTCTGCCATTAAGAGGGTAAGTGAAGAGCTGTAGAAGACAAAAATATATTAAATCTCTTGAACATAATGTTTCCATATGTAATAAATATTTCTTCTATACAGATCTAGTGCTCAAACTACTTAACACTAAAGAGTGACTAGTACTATTTTTAACAAATAATAATAGATCTCATTAGAGTTAAGAAATCATGATTGCCTTGTCTCAAAAAGTTTCTACTTTGGTAAGTTTCTTTCTTTTCTTTCTATGTATATAATCGTTAACGTGTTTCCAAAGCAGTCCACAGGGAAATGCAGGTACATATGACCCTAATTCATGACATTAATTGAATACAATTAACCAATTAAATTAAACAGCTAAATCACTAATTAAATTTTACAGCTGAATTGCTATGTGAGAAAGGAGGATCAATCTGTAACATAGACTGGGATGGTCAAACCAGGTGTCTGCAATTCCTGGAAATTATGTGCATTCAGATTTAAATACATAAATTCCACTCCTCTTAAATAGGTTCTTATGGTATTTTCTGTTTTGTGGTGGTAATGTAAAGATTTAAGGTGTTTTATGAATCTTTATTTAAAATACAGTTGGGAGCGTCATGGAAAAGTTGGTAAGAAAATGAATACTATGGATCTTGTTTTTTCATCTTCTTAACACCTTTTATTCAGTTTCTTAAGTTCTCTGAGCTTCTTGTGTATTATGGTTACATTAAATGTGTTAGTAAACAAAGCAAGGTGGAAAAGAAGAGCAAATAAGTGCTCATGAGGAAAAAAGCAAACAATTATTTTAATTAAGTGGAATTCAAAAAAAAAAAAGTGGGAAAGGCATATGCAGTAGAAAATATGAAATAGAGTAGAAGCAATTCTTAAATTTTCTTTTCACTGTCCAGTAGGACTTCACTTCAGCACACACCTCTGTTGCTAAGACAATCTTTTTTTTTTTTTTTTTCTTAAAAAGAGGAAGGAAGCACCACCAGTAGCTGTTTTGGATTCTTGATGACAGAGTGAGCAAAGAAAAAAAAGTCACTCCTGATTTGCCTCCTGACTTTGAGAGAGCAGACTAGCTTTATTTGAGGGACAAAGCTGCAGCCCTGAAAGATGGAAATGCTGGTGAGAGCAGCCGTGCTTGTAAGCCTGCTTCTGTTCTGCAACGGTGAGTATGTGGGAAGGTCTCCTGCTCGAGGCAGTTCCTTCCCTGGCACTGCTGTGTCAGAGTGTGTGTTGGTACAGGGGAGGCTCTGCTTCAGGAATAGAAATATGGCAAAATAGCCCATGTTTTTGCATGCTGCTCGCTCAGTGTTCAGCTGTTTCAAATCCTGTGGCTGCAGAGTGCAACGGTGTGTAAAGCCTATGGAAATGTTGTCCCTGCACTTCTAGGACAAAGATCCTGTGTATGTTGTGATGGATTACTTCAAAGAATGCAAAAAGCAGCCCAACACCGAGAGTCTGGTTAATTCTTGTGCTTCCAGAGCTGGAACCAAAAAGGACAGTCCGTGATGCTTGGAGAGATGCTGCTCTGATGTGACAGAAAACATTTAAAAACAAAAATTTTTATTTGGAATGCTTTTCTTGCATCTCACCCATTGCTTTGCTGTACTGCGGAGAGGGCTAGTGAAAAAGAATAAACTAATGTGGTAGATCTTGGAAGGCCCATAGGGAGCCTATATAGAGAAAAGCAACATAGCTAGTGAAGGGATTAGAGGGAAAAAAAAAAAAAGGCTTAAGAGAAGCAGCTGAGGCAATTCAGTTTGTTTCCTCTGGAGAAAAGGAGACAGAGGGAAGATCTCATTGCTCTCTACAACTACCTGAAAGGAGGTTGTAGCAAGGTGGGTGTCAGTCTCTTTTCTCGAGTGACAGTTGATGGGATGTGAGGAAAAGGTCTTAAGTTGTTCCCGAGGAGGTTTAGCTCAGATATTAGGAAGAATTTATTCATGAAGAGGATGGTTAGACGTTAGAACAGGCTGCTCAGAGAGATAGTGGAGTCCTCATTCCTGAAGGTATGAAGAAATACAGGCATGTAAGAGAAAGGAACAGGTGGCACTAAGGCAGAACTCAGTAGATCAAGTTGATGGTTGGACTTGGTGATCTTGAAGGGTTTTTTCCAACCTAAATAATTCTAAGATTCTACAAGTTTTCAAACAGCTCAGTGTGAAAAGAAGCATAAATAGCTGTTAAATCTGGGCCAAGTGGCAAGGAAGATGGGTATTGTTGTAATCACAAGGCTTGAAACACAGCCACACAGTTAATTTAGGTCTGACCCTGGTCTATCAATTATCAGTTCTCATGAGAGAAGAAACTTGAAGGCTGAGACTAGATTTGTTGAGCCCTGCAGTCTGACATCGTGTGTAACATCTGTAGGATGGCAATGACAAAGAGGAAGTTTGGAAATCAGGAGGGAAGGGTGAAGAAGTATCTCTAGAAACATTGGTTCAGCCCTAAGAGCAATGAAAATGTACTGGGTCAAAAGCAATGGGCCTCTTCTTTACAGGAAAGTTTAAAGAGTTTTATGTCTTCAATCCATTGCTTAAATTCAGATCAGCAAGGAAAAGCAGTGTCTTTCAGAAGAACAAGTAGGCATTGGAGGAGAGAAAAGCACTGAAACTGTGGTTTGTAATGTGTGGTGCTTCCCAAGAAAGCCCTCAGAGTGACATTAGGTGAGAGGGGAGCCGCGTAACTGAATGAATCAAACCAATTCCCTCAAGTCTGAACCTCTTCCTAATTCTGATCTGATGCTCTGCCTGGTGCTTACTTGCTTATTTTGCCTGAAGGAATAGGCAGGTAGCACCAGAATAAGCACCAGGCAGAGCATAAGACCAAATTCAGCACAAATTGTCAGAACTGTCAATCAGCTGTCTCCCACTTGCCTTCCTCATATCATATGGCTTTTCTGTTACCTCATACCTGAAAAGACCATCAGTCTCCACTTACACTGACCTGCCCATGCTTCTGATTTGCTGGAATCTACCTGTTGGTGTTCCTGCCAATCTCTAGTCATCCAGGAACTGCCTTTACCTTAACGGCTTATTTTTCTTTTTTCTACGTTTTTCCCTGCAGCTCTCCTGGACCTGATGGGCCCCAATGAGATGGAAGGCGTATGGAAGGGGTCTGCTGTCCTGCCATGCACCTATGTGCCTGGGGAGGACTTTGTGCAGCACACCCTCACGTGGTCTGTAGTGCATGACCAGAGTTCTGGTACTGTCTTCCGGAGGGATGCCTCTGGGGATCATGTTCTCCTGTCTGAGTACAGAAACAGGGTTGAAGTCCCAAAGAACCTGCCGGGAAATGTGTCTCTCCACATCCTGAAACTGGAAATCTCTGACAGGGGAACCTACACTTGCCATGTCACCTGGACAGCCAGCAACAACAGTCTGATAGCAAAAGAGATCAGCACTAAAGTTGAGGTTGTCAAAGGTAAATTCAACAAGGAAACTATGCAAAACTGGAACTTCTTACTTGGGAAGGTTTTTAAAAAAAATTGAATAGATCATGTGCCCAGTGCCCGCCTGCTTCCAACGCAGGAGCATTGTGTTGGGAAGTGTCAGACACCCCAGCAAAGCAGAAAAGAGGTCAAAGAAAGGAGTTCACAGACTTTGGTTCAGGGGCTGGGGCATAGATTTGTGGTTTCTCACTTACCAGTAGTTCCCTGGGTCTAACTGTACTGGATTACCCAGTGTTTCTGTGGGATGTGCACCAGAAGGGAAGTAACTGGGATATTGCATTATAAAACATCAGAATTTCCTTTGCTTGGGTAGTGGTCACTTACAGAGGAATGGAGGTGGTGACACTCCATCAGAGGAGACATTCAGCACAGGAGCTGCAAAGGGTGGCAAGGCTGGTGCATGTATACCTGTACCGAGCTCAAACAGCACAGAGCAGCGGAGAGGCAATGCTGCCTCTGCCCCTTGGGGGAAAAAGGCTTAGGGCTAGAGCGTGAGCTGCCATGGAGAGAGGGAAACCTGCCCCCATCACTGCCGGGGTCAGCACAACCCAGGTCCCTCTGCTTTGTCTTCCAGTGCCAGCAACCAAGCCCATCATCAGGGCCGGCGCGCTGGGGCTGACGGTGCCAGTGGGAGCCAGGACCAGCCTGACCTGCGTGGCCCACGGCTCCCCACCCATCAGCTACCGCTGGTTCCGGGCAGTGCCAGGGGGGACAGCCCTGCCGCTGAGCAGCCAGGCCGAGCTGACGTGGGACAGCCTGCGGCCTTCCGACGCGGGGACATACTACTGCGAGGCAGAGAACAGAGTCGGGGCAGGGGTGGTGCAGCGGAGCGATGCCGTGGAGCTGGTGGTGAGAGGTGAGTCCCCAGCCTGTAGCTCCTCACCTCAGCGGCAGCAACCAGTGAGGCAAATGGTTCCCGTTCGCCCAGGGATCAGGCACGTAGCACCGAATGTGAATCGTGTCTGGATCGCTGCTCAGGAGGGGAGCCCGGCTCTGCCCTTGGCACATCTCGCTTTTGCCTGGCTTGGAACCCAGGCAGGGCGTGCAGCAAACCGTCTGATGAGCGGTCTGTCCCACAGGGTCCCCAGTCACACAGCCACCCACGCCTGGGACCAGCCGGCACACAGGACCCCCACTCCCCTCAGAAGGCAGCGAAGCTCCCCATGCGCTGGGAGGTGAGTGACCTGGGCGGCAGCGACGGGCTGGTTCCACCCTGCTGGCATGCAAATGGCACAGGCTGTCAGTGAGACAAGTCCACGTGCTGGCCCTCTGGGGCTGCACATCCTCTCTGGAGAAGGATAGAAATGGTCCCTCCTGTTGCCTGCAAGCAGGAGCTCAGATGGGGGTGGTGGGGCAGAGCCCCCCAACAGCAGCCGAGCCAGAGCTTGGGAGACCATGGGCTGGGAAACCAGGGGTCACACAGCTTCACCGGGAGTCGCCCAGGGCAAGACCTGCCTTAGGGCTCCGTGCCCTGGGGAGCCTTAAGGTGCTGCTGCCTGTGGTGAAGCACCCCGCGCCAGCCGGGCAGGGAGGGAGTGGGGAAGTCCCGCAGCAACCTGGGTGAGTCCCAGCGAGGCAGAGCTGAGGCATCCCTGGCTGTGGTGTAGCCAGCTGCAGGGTGCTGGTGCCGAGAGCCACAGGGCTGCCATTGGCAGGGGTTGATGGCCAGGGAGAGGACAGCATGAGTGCCACAGGTAGTGTGTGAGGCTGCTGCCAGAGAACATACAGGATGACACGGCAGAGAGAAAATTATGGCTCGTCAGTATGGGAGCAGGTGAGATGGGTGTTTTCTTTCCGTGCACCTCAGCAGTGACAGCCTTAGATAATGCAGACTGCCCGGGCAGAGCTCACTGCCTGCCTCGCTGCAGTGGCTTCACCAGGAAAAGGCTGCTCTGGCTGACACTGCAGGGGAGCCCTGGGACCCCTTGCAGTGCGTTCACCCTTGTGCCTTGGCAGATCTGTCCACAGCAACGCTGTCCGCCAGGAATGATGTCGTTTCAGAGAGGGCTCCCGCTGCCACAGGTGAGCAAGCCCCTTGGTGAAACACGCACGATTTGCACGGGGAGGGGCAGGCTGGCAAACACTCCGCAGACCAGACACTGAAACCGACTGCCCCATTTTGCATTTTGCATTGCTGCTGGGAGCAAACCCCGGGCCTGTCAAACGCAGGCAGCAGCTGCCCTCTCGGCCGCCCATCCACAGGCCTTCCAGAGTTGATGTATTGCCTGATGTTTGCTTTCTGATTGTGCCTTAATGGGGATGAAAACGTTAACAACGATCTCAGCCCCAGCCTTCACAGTTTGTCCGTGTTTTGGCCACGGCTGAGGCTTTCACCGGGCTGTCAAGCACCCTTTATTTCCCTTCTCCTCTTCAGAGGAATGACTCTATCTTGATGCAAAATATGTTTCTATTTAAAATATTTATTCCTCTTAGCTTGTTTTGAAATAGTTGTTGTCATGTAATGCCGACTCTCACGGTGGGTTACGAAGGTAAAAGAATAGTAAATTTAGACAAGAAATCAGGATTTGATTTTGAATACAAATGAGAGGTAATTCAGTAAGTGGGGAAAAAAATTAAAACAGCCTTTGTTCATTATAATTTGCCAAGCACTTCAGGGAAGTGCACTGCACTGTACTCTCTGCAGTCCAGTGGGCCCCAGCTCTGTGGGTCAAATGATGGCTGTCCTGTGGAGGGCTTGCTGCTCTCCCTGGCTGGTTACTCAGAGCCATGAAGTCAGTAATAACAGATCCAGGCATAGATACCATAGTGAAATCAGTGACCTCTGGAAAAGGTGAAGCTTGCTGAGCTCCAGTGGTATGAAGGTTATGCTGAAAGGAAGTGTTGGTCTTCCCAGCAGCTGCAACTTGCATGTAGGAGTGTAGAGCCAGGTGATAGGAATTAATTATAGCCATTCTTGTCAACACTGCAGCAGGCAGTCCCATACCTGTCCTCTAGATGGCTGTTTTTTCATTGTCTTTATCCTGCAAGTCAAAAAGTTCTCCTCTATTGCTGCACGCATTACAAACCTGGCCAAACTCTTTGGTGAGCCTCCCTCTCTTTTTTAACCTGCAGATCCTCCCTCTCAGAGTGACAGTGGGAACCTCAGGAGACGTACAGCCCAACCACAGGTTAGGGGGCAGCAGTTACAGCTGACAGCAAGGACAGTGTCAGGTGAAGGGTTTGACCCCAGTGTTCAGCAATGGACTGTTTTGCTGGGGAATACACATTTGACTATATTGCTTTTTTTAGTCCATATGCCTTAGTTTTTAATACAGATGTTTCTGAATGTCTGCAGGATTTTAGCTTACTCTTGGTGGGGCAGGGGTGGAGGGGGGATGTTCCTTTCAGCTGATATTGATGGATAAATGAATAGTAACAAAAATGTACTTGGGGGGATGCTTAAAGTCAATCCAAAAGTCACCAATAAAACAAGCTGATGCCATGCCTGTAATCCTTCTCAATAGCCTGTGTAGGCTGTGCATTGCCGGTTTTGTCCCTGACAACGGTCTCTTGACAGCCAACTTTGGGAACACAAGCTCAATGATGTCAGCTCAAAACTGGCCTGAAGGATGGGGCAGTTTGCAGCAATGCATAAAACACATCTACAATTAGACACGTCACCTCAGACTCCCTTTAGACCTCAGAAAGGACTGAAGAGAAACAACAGACACAAATGTTTGAAGCAGCTTTTCTTTCATGACTAGAAGCAGTCTACTTACCAAGGATAGCTGTTTTGAGGAAGTACTTACAGTTTGCAATTCATCTTTGTGGGTTGTGGGAACTCGGAGCTGGATTCAAGTAGATCTACTTGTGGAAACTTAAATTCAAATGAAATATGACCCAAAAACTAATAGTGCCCCATCATAGCAGGTTATGTGAATCATCTTCAGTAGCTAGAAGCTAAGAGAAGATATTGACAATTGTTGATTGTATGGGGTGGGGGCGAGAAAAAAAACAGATGGTGTTATGTAGTACTACAGTAATCTCTTGGACTCCATGGGCTTCCACCACTATTACTGGGGCAGAGGGGGGAATGTACGTGTGTGTATAGGTATTACTTGTTTCTAGAGTTTGCCTATTGACTGAAAATACATTGTGAGCTTTTCATGCTTGTTTTTGTTTTGCAGATTTGCCCGTAACAGCAGTGAATACTGAGAAAGGTGTGGGTTATACGGGAAAGAATTACACAACTCAGAGTAAGTGGAGAGAGAAACAAAACTAGGAACAAGATTAGGGACCCAAACTGACCAACTGACCACTTAGTAGCCAGTATCTTCCACCCCAAAATTAGCATTCTGCATTTTAGCTGCAAATGCTATTATTAGCTGTTCTCAAGGGACCTGGATGTTCTATAGTGACTCTTAAAATAAACTGGATGTTTTCTGGGGGGGGGGCGGAGTTTCATAACTGGAACATCCAGGGTGCTTGTTGCATTCCCAAACAGTAATCCATTCTTGTCTTTTGAGTGTCAAAGTTGGAACAGCAGCAAAGCCTTTGAGCAACTACCTCCTGTACCTCACCTAGGTATGAAGTACCATGGTAGGTTTAAACGTGATCCAAATGCAATTGGGCAGCATCCTTGAATGAAAAGGGGTGATGATACAGGCTGAGGCTCTGTTTCATGACTTGCGCTGAAACTCTCCTGCCCAGCTCACAGCTGCAGCCTCAGTGTCTCTGAGTAAGAGACAGCATGGCATCTTCACGGCCCTAGCCTCTCAGCAAGATGCATGCACTGTAAGTCCGACTGCCTGATCTTTAAGTCTGAGCATTTGTACTACAAATGTGTAGTACAATCTTGTGTGCCCATTTCAAAGGTTGTCTGAGCAGCCTCCAGGAGGTGGTCAGCATCATGTGGGGGCTGCTGCTATTGCAACCTGGGAGGGCTGCTCTATTTGAAAGTCCTGTGCTGTACTGTTCTAGGTCTCCAGAAGACTCACCTGTCTCTGTACATGGTCATCCTGATTGCTGTGTTGTGTAGCGCTGTGGTTTTCCTCGTCATTTTCACTATTGTTTGCATTAGAAAGCCCAAAGAAGGTGAGTGGGCTGTTCTGGAGAGCTTGAATGTGTTGTGTGTGCACAGCTTGGTTTTAACTTTGAGGGCTTTTGGGGCTGGGGCTGGTACAATGTTCATGTCTACCTGCAGCAGCTCTGGTACCTGAATCATGAAGACATTTGACCAAACCACACATAAATCAAAATAGGTGGAGGAAGACTGGAAAAGTCAGAGAAATCACTTTTTCCTCAGGGGAAAATGGTCTCCAATGCCAGAAAGTCTCCCAAATACCGAGAGAGTGAGTCCCCAGTGTGCCCTCCTTGGCCACTCTCCAGTCCTGCTGGCTGTCCCTGGCTGAGCCTGGGGGCAGCAGTGTCCCAGCAGGGGCTACTCCTGCTGTGTAGTGTCCAGCTGCTCATTCAAACAGGTGTTTCAGCTCCATCTAAATGCTGATTGGAATGGGGGACATCTCCATAACTTCCATTCTGGTGCCATGTTGGTGATGCTCAGCAGGTTTCTCTGCTCTATCCAGCTTACATTTAAGATGTTTGTTTACCTCTGGTCCTCATGGACATCCTGTAGTCCTCAAACTTACGTGCCCTATTGAGTTTTTTTTTTTTAAGAGATCTCCCAAGATTTCTGGTAGTGTGTTGATCTTATATTTCGAAGCATCAAAGCACCTCTTTGTGCCAGATGCTGTTAATATTTCTTCCCTAGTGCCTAGATGAAAAGAAATCATTAATTCTCCCATTCAGCACCAGTTATTTTTTTCTCTCCACAACAGTACCAGAAAACTTAAGACAAAATTTAAGACTCCCTTCTCACTAGTAACACAGGAACATACAGAAGACACACTGAGGTCTTTTTTAATATTATCTGCCATGGTTTTCTCCTCGTCTCTTTTTAATTACCTTCCTACAACTCCTTGATGCTAACTTATAATAATTATCAAATGATTTTTTTTTAAAGAAATCCAGAACAATGTCTTTCTAAACTATAATTTCTTTTTCAGCTTATAATGAATAGGAAAATTGTGGGAACTGGGAACTTCTAGTTTCTAAATTCAACTTTACCTTTGACTTCTGGCCAGTTATTCTGACCCAGTTGTGCTCCTTCTTGGATACAAGTTGTTTTAGTTTTCTTGGACTGAATTCTGGGAATAAGAATCATGACCCACTTAACATGATCTTTAAGGATCCCGGATCTCAGAGGTTGTTTTCTTATGTCAAGAAGAGATAAAGTAGAAATTTTCTTTCCAGAATATAAATGCAAATTGCTGACACATTTCTAACTGCTCTCTTCCAGCTCAAGTCTATGAAGTAGAACAGTGAGTATAATCCTTCATTTAACATACAGTCCCCAAAGATTCATTATAATCAGAGCAGGAAAAAACATTAATGCTACTTAGCTGTCAAAATGAAAATACTCCCAAGCAGCACGCGTGAAGAGGTTGAAAGTTAGCTCTGTGGCATGTTTTACTGATGATTTGTGGGCTTTCTACATCAAGGCATAATGTAGGAAGAGATTTTTTCCTTTGCAGTATTGGAATTGTAAAAACGAAGGAAAGCTGTTTAAGCCTCATCTAGCTGAGTTAATACTGATGATCATTGCCAGGGGAAAATTCCCAGCGTTCTTTAAAATGTAAAGAGAAGGAATTCCCATTCCAGAGAGCTAAGGCTTGTGATACACAGATTATACTTTAGTTTATCCCCAGAATACCCATAGCTGAAAGTGCCTATTTAATATTTAATCATGGATGTGGCAGGAAGTTAGAGCTGTTTCTAAACATCAGCGTACTGATCTACTTGTAACTAGCCAAACTGCAAAGACTGTGAATGCAGCCAGAACATGCAAGGACTGTGTGACAACTAATATATATATGTATGTATATGTATATATTTATTTATGATGATGACTGGAGTGCTGTGAAAGGACATGCCAATGAATTTACACATACTCTACTGTGCCAGCACTCTATAAAGCAGCATGTTCAAATAACAGTTGAACCCTAAGCAACTAGATGGTGTGATGGTACTTCTTTTCAGAGTATTTACCTTTTAATTTTAAAGATATTTGATATCATAAGTTCTATGGTGGATGTAGGCTGCATTCAGCTCACTGTTTACCATTCCTCCAGTGCTTTTTAAAATCTATATCTTTGTTTTACAAACAGCATTTGTCTGTTTGTGCCATTCCAAGAGATGGTGGAAATCCCTGTGTTGCTTACTTACCTTTTGCTGTCCCTGTCTCAAATCCAGGGAGAGCTTCAATGCTGATATAGTGCTCAAGGTTCTCTTGCTTCATGAAAGCAGAGGAAAAGACTCTCTTCTTCAGGAGACTGTCATAATCCAATAGCCAAGGTTCACATGGGTTTGAATCAGATCACCACCTTGCTCAAAATCTTCATTGTTAGGAGATGCTTTGTGTACTCTATTTGCAATTCTTCTTTCATATTTTGTATTTTTCTATTTTGATTTCAGCTCTAACTCAATGAAAGCAGGGGCTTCTTCAAGGTATGATAGTGTGGCTCATTATGAGGAACCACTCTCCTCTACTGAAAACAACTATGTGATGGAACCCATGAAAAATGAAAGAAATAAAGAAAATGAATATAAGAATGTTGGAAACACCCAAGAATCTGAATATGAAGTAGGGGATTCTAAATGAGAACCAACTGTTTTCTACATGTAGTAATCCTGAAGAGTACCTTAATCTAGACACAATCTTTGCACAAGCTGGTTTTACTCCTTTATGAATAATTGGAGCCTTAATAAATAAATAAATAAATAAATCTCTGTAGTTAAAATGCAAGCCTCTTGAATAAACTTCAGAATAAACTTCTGAATTATACATTGCTGTCTTTCCATTTTGCTTTTCTTGGTTCCTATTTAACAACTTCTGTTGAAGAAAACCCTGTGAAAGCTGGAGCATGCAGATCACAGGCCGAGAGCACTGTATTGAACTTACTGTTTTATATGACCAAAAGGAATTGCATCCTCTTTACAAACAGTTATTTTCTGATTGGAGTAGAAAGGGCATGAGATGTTGTTAAACATCTCCCTTTATATAAGAAGTGCAGAAGGAAACTGGTGTGGGAAGTGATGTTTCTCCTCCCATCTGTCTGAAGTGCTTCATGGGTGATATTGTCCTTTTAAATGTGAGACAACTGTGAAAGGTGACCTGAAAGAGAGATTAAAGCTAGGATAAAACCAAGAATCTTATCACATTTGGAGCAGCAGACTTAAAGGAAGAAATTCCTTGTGAACGAACCGTGCTGTGTTCAGTACGCCTTCCTGAAGCACTCTCACAATAACATACAGACACACTTTCTATGACAAAGCAAACTCTGTCAGTTTTGTAGCTGGGCAGGTTGGGAGACTCCTATATTGCAACAAGGCATGTTCTTTCAGAAATAACAGTCTCTATTCTTTCAATGGATGTTTAGTATTTCAAAGAAATTAGATACTTTTCCTTAAGTTTGCAAATTATTTTGACATGAATATTTTGTATGACTCATTTGTCTTCAAAATGCCAGCAAGATCATAATATTAACTTCTCTGTAGTTATTCATAAAGTACCTCACAGCTTAGAGAGCTTGAAGGATAAGCAGAGAGATCACAAGCTTTCTTATCATAATTTTTACCAACCTAAATAAGTCTGTAACATGGATACTGCAGACTTATGGAAGAATCTTTTCATAATGGATGACAGGGCAATACCATGTCTGCTGAAAAGCACAGTGGACAGATGTAAAATAAAGAGGTGCTCTTAAGGTGCAAGGGAAATATTATTTGCATAGATGGTGGATTTGTGGGGCTAAAATCTGCTGCTACCACTCAGGAAAGATCTGCATTCCGGTGTACAGTTCTCAGAAGCATCAACTCAAAACTCACCAGCATTCAAAAAGAGGATTAGAAGCTATTAGGAAATGAATCCAACTGCATTAGAAAACACAATTGTAAGACTGTAAAACCCCATGGAATGCTTTCACTTTACGTGTGCTTGCAGCAGACTGTTCTGAAAGATACCGAGAACAACAGTAAAGGATGATTAGTGATACAAAACTCCTGCACAAATGCATTAAAATTTCTCAGCTTCAAAAAATAAAATTAAAAGAAAAAAAAGAGGAATGAGTCAGAATGAGCTGAGTGTACTAAGTCACGACCAGTGGGGAGAAGATGAATAGGGTCTGTTTACAGTTTCTCAGAATGGAAAATGAAGCAGACATTAGAAAAAAATTACCTGGTATAACTTCTAAAAGGAGAGAAGTACTTCTTATATGCAATAGATACATAAACTTGGAGCACAATGCTATTCATTAATTTCCATTAAAAAACAAAGTATATGTAACTCCAATGAGTAATTTGATGAATCAATTACATAAAAGTTCTTCGGAATTCACAAGCCACCAGGGATGCTTTACAGATACAAGTGATACTACACTTTCTCCATGGACTTCTGTCACAAGTTTTATTTCTTGTTGTAAAAAATATACTTAAAATCCAGGTCTAGGAAACCTTGTTTACAAAATTAAAAGGGAAGAGACAGCAACTTTTGTTGGTGATTATGTCTTGGAAAAAAATGTAGATGTGTACATGCAGCTTCTTGCAAATATGGGGAATCAAATGAAGTTCATTAAACTTCAGGACTGCAGAGGTAGCAGATTTTGTTCTACTTCTCTATATTTTGACCATATAGATGTACATGTACATGAATGTCTGATGTGTGATGAGGAAGCATATAGTGTTCCTCTACTTAAAACCACAGGAATTATTGTGAATCTGTTGAAGCTGGGATAGGCTTTGGATGTTGTGTTAAGTGATATTTATAGATTTCAGTCAGCCACGGTTTAGGGAATAGAAGGTGTAAAAGTTGCTGCTAGTCCAATCTGAGGTTAAGAGTTAGTGAAAAAGAGTTATTTTAGCCTGTAAAAGAAAATGAGCTTTATTGTGGAGAGTATAAAAAGTCAGTGCACTCTTATGATCTTTCCTTCTTCCTAAGGAGGAAAGTGAGTAGGAAAGGAAAATTGTTTCAGTAATATTGCAAGACACACAACTATCACCAAAAGGCTTTTCCAGAGGATAACAGAAAAATCATGTCTGAATAATGTGTTAAAGTCATGAAAAATTGGCAGCATTGAAATTTCCTGGGAAACTCATGTTTTCTTTACATTTCAGCTCTAGATGACCTTACAGTTTTTGGGACCTTGCAATAATGTTCTCTTTGTTTAAAAAGGGTATTAAAAAATTGTGTATTTTTTAATACACAATTAAAAAATTACAATGGTAAATGTGAGAGAACTGTGGTACACGCAACTGTAAAGACTCCTGGAGTTAGCTTCTGTGGGACATCCAAGAAACATTTACATTTTGTTTAGCCAGATCTGTAAGTTGGCTATGGCTAGACCAAATAAGAATGTCTTGTTTTGCAGCAAAATTTGGCCTTTTTTCCCCAAGTGTGGATTCTTTATAAAGAGCACTTTGAGAACTTTCTTTTTCAGTTACCTACTTGGTGGTTTGCACAAAGCTTGGTGTTGCATTTCATCCTCTTGCAGACTAAAAAACTTATTTGCATCAATCACAACTGGAGAACTGCAGAAAACCTGTTTGGCCCCTGGCAGACTCAAAACTTGAGGGTAAGATCCAGGCTCTGCACAGCTGAGCCCTATGAGTGGGGTTGGAGGTCCCACCTGCACTCATTTTGTTATGAAACAGGCGTCTTTGCTACACTACCTCTAAATAGCCAGAGATGTAGTGGTAGAAATTCCAGACCAGAGAGTGATATTGGTCACTTTGAGTTGAAGAAATGATTCTTGGGGTTGTGTTATACCCAGTGTGCAGTGGGAATGTGGGTGCCTGTGTGGGGAAAGGCTGCCAGGCATTTTTCCTGACTGGCACTACAAGGGTGAAAGCAGTGGATTCAATCCAAAGCACTGAAATACAGAGGCACTGCAACTACATAGACGTAAAAGGGTTTTTCTTCATGTGGTCAGATGCAAAACCACAAGGAGTGCCCCTGAAGAAATAGACAAACCACGGGACTCAGGGAGAAGAACACTAGCAGCTACATCTCTGCCCCAGGGAGACAAAGATGTCATGCAAATCACATTTTAGGAACTACAGTTCTTTATGTTTGGTTTAGCGAAGTAGTCAACTTTTATCCTGTATGATTACATCTTCAGGAAGTCTTGCATGTCCGGTTCAAAAAATTGCCATATCAGCAGTTCTAGCTTGGTTTTTCAGCTTGCTCCAGAGCACGTTCCCCAAAATCCAAATGGTCTTCTTTCATAGTCTTTTGAATAGGAGGTAGGTTACTAGCACAAGCTTCTATTACTAGTCATGGACAAAATTGTGCACAATGTTGGTTTAAAATCACCTCCCTGAAAATGGACTCATTCGTTCTCAAAAAAAAATGCCTGAATATTAACAATTGCTTTTTTATGTTTGATTGATTGATTTTAGAGAGCACTCAAACATAGCTAGTGGCTTCCTGATGGCAGAGAGTGGGCAGATGAGGTACAGACAGAGTGGAATGGTATCATCAGAGAAGTCAAGAACAAAAGGCAACCCAAATCAAGTCTTCATTGTATCAGCAAGGACATGCTCTGCACAAATGGATGGTACCATTGCCTGTTATTTTTCTCAGAAAGATGACAGCTGGAGGTAGCTCTTAGCCTGGAGACTCATAAGAATTTTTTGCACCAGGTCTTGCCACACCACATTCAGCTTTTTCCTCCAGGGTGCCCATGCTTGCCATAGTTTTACTGCAAATTGTACTGCTGCAAGTTTTACTGCAGCAATAAGCAGAGCTCAGCTGAAATCACATTCAGCAAATCATCCGAGTGTGGATGTGCCTCTGCCCAAACAGTGAATAAAACCTTCACTGTTCTCATCAGTTTACTGACTTTGGAAAATGAAGACAGTCACCAGTGTTCATTACCTTGCACAGAAAAGGAGCCAGACATCACTGTTGAACTGCAACACTTCCAGAAAATCGTCTGAACTTGGCTGCAGTGTAACCAGCTAAACCAAACAGATACCTGTCATGATGGGTCAAAGCTGCGGTAAAACTACACAAATTGCTGCTGGAAGCTCTGTTGGAACTTTTGTCCTAGCTCCAACAGAAAATGGCTCCTTATATTTCAGATACCTGCTTCCTGCTCAAAGAAACTATTCTGAATTTCTTGCAAACCTTAGACCCCCATATTGACATCTGTGAGAGAAGTATTTCAGGGGAGTCTGCTGTTTCTTTTCCTTCATTACACTTTTCTTTGAGTCAAGAAGTCTGTGCAGACAGAAATCTTCTCCACTGACCAAATAATGAGGAATGGCAAGGGAAATTGAATTATTTCTTGGAAGCATTTCAATGTGTGGTGTTGAATGGTGCAGTTAAAACTATATGCTGTGGCATGACTATTGTGTAAATATTAAAAAGTTGCTTTCATGACTAATTACAGGCCTACAACAGAATTCACTAGGTCAGTAGGCTTGCTTTTATACGTTTCTTATCTTCTTAATTCTTTCTCCTTTTGATAATGTTAACCACATATTAAATTCTTAATAATTCTGTTCATAACACCTATTGATAACTTTTGGATCTACTTTTAAAAGTGCCCTTACAGAGTGTGCCCAGAACACTTCCTAGATTCAAGTCACCTTCTCAGAAAACAAACACTGCATGTGCTTGCAGAGCACGAAACATGGTAAGTATAAAGGCTCAGGCGCTAGACAATTGCTGCAGAAATGTCTACTAAGATAATCTCTGATACTGTGAAAATGAGAGCACCAGGCAGTGACCATTTGCTCACCCGTAGATGGTAAAAACTTATATAACATTAAATTCAGATGACTCTAGGTTGTTAATCTCTCATTTCACTATGCACCTGCTCCATGTCCCTGTCAAATACAGCTGCAGTTGCAGCTGCACTGCAGTAAATCACAGTTTCTAGGCAGGTAGTGGAAAATGCAGCTTTTGCAGGGAAATTCCTACCATAGTAAAGAGCAGGATGTTGGGTTTTGAATACTTCTCTACACACTTCTGTTGAAACAGAAAAAAAAAAGAAAGAAAAAAAAAAGGCATCCTACTTTTTTCTGGTCTAAAAGTCTCAGACTTAGACAAAGAAACTAAGGCTGGTTTTCTTCCTCACTCAGGCCACAGACTGGCCTACTCAGAAGCTGCTGCAGAAGTGACTAAATGTGCATGGTAAAAGAATTAACTGCTATCAGTAGGAGAAGACACTCAAGGAACTGAACTGAGCCACAGCAGGTTGGTCTCTGCCTCATGCTCCTGCGTGGTGTTCAATGAGTCAATGCAGTCAGGCCTCCCAAATGAAGGGTACTGTGCTTTTCCAGCTCTGGATGCCCAGTTTGGAGCACTTACAGTGCAATGGAAAGAGGTGCTGAGTATCCTGCTGGGCCATACCATCACAGACAAGTCAGAGGTAACTGAATTCATACCTTTCGAGCATTCTCAGGTTTGTTTTCCCTTGTTACTGATTACTTGACTATGTAGCCATCATAAACCTCTTTCCTTATGAAGTGAATACAAATATGGAAGAAGTGAAAAATAAAAAAAATAAAGGAAAGGGAAAGAACAAATATACACGCTATTATGAGGAAAAAAAATAGATTATTAGCCAGAAAAGTCAAAAGAATGGTAAGAGAAGTGGGTGGGGATGGGAATACGAAATGGAACCAGAAAGTTGCTTACAGTCTTTGTTCATCCTTCACCCTTCACCTCAGCCATCAGTGAAATGGACTCGTGATATTTCAGAAAGAAGGAAGGAAAAAGGGCAGCACAGCCTGAATCCTAGATGACACAGGACAGAAGAAAGGGAAGTGTTGGTGACTTGCCTTCTGGTCTAAGGCGTGAGGGTGTCTGTCACGAAGTGCAGAAAAAGGAGAGCAGACCTGCAGTTCTGGGAGAATGGGAGAAGTGGTGTGGCTAGCGGTGTTTGTGATGGCTTTCATCAGCTGCAATGGTGAGTAAATGCTTCCTTGCACAAGAAGAAAAATCAGAGTATTAAGAGGGGAGGGAAATTCCTCTGAATTATAGCGTCTTATTTTTAAAAGTTGTTACATGTGGAAAGTCCTTAGTTTCTTGTTTGAAAAATAGAGCCTGACAATTCACAAGTCTTCCTCAGTACTGGGTACAACGAGGGGCTTCTGAGAGCGGGGCAGTATTAGGCAGGTCAGCTCCCATGCACCAAAGCAAGAACAAAACAACATTGTTCAGGACCCTTGGAGAGGACCTGCTCTGGTGTGGTGAGTTACCTTCCATAACTGTTTTTGTGAAGCTGGAATATGCACTTTCTTCTAGAATCAGTTGCTCCCAGGGCAACTGACACTGGCAGAGGAAGGATCTGAGAAACCTTGAGAAAGGTGCTTTGACAAGGTGCACACACAAGCGCAGAACTGCTCCTGATATTTAGAAAAACGGGTGGAAGTATGTACCCTGTTAACTCACAAAGCAGCTCTGCAGATTTCTAGGATCTGTCTCTTAAGCTACTTGTTGGGAGTTAATGCAGTGGAACATAACCCGTGCCTTTCTGGGGAGAGAGGGGAAGGGGGAATGAGATAAAAGGGCATAGACAGAGGTGAGTCAAGTCCAGCTAAACTCAGGTAATCTGCTGCTTACATGAGGCACTTCCCAGGAGCTGTGGTCTTAGTGGACAGACAGCTGGACAGACAGGAGAGTAAACTAGATACCACAAAATCCACACCCTCTTCTCCTGTGCCCACTTGAGCCTTTGGCAGTGTGTTCATCTGGTGGAGACAGATATGAACCAAGAGTTCTAGGTCAGATCTGAAGTCCTCCAAAGCTAAAGCAAAAAGATTGGTTTTGGTCCACTGTTCCAGTTCCAGGTCCAGTAATTCAGACCAGATACTTAAGGGCTGTTGCCTGCATACCACTTCCACACCACCAGGAAAGCTGGTGCTGGCAAGCTAGGAAGGAATGTGATCAGCTCTTTTACAAAATGGACCAGAGTATAACAGTTTTTATTGTTGTTGTTTGTCACCGTGTCCCATCCTGTTCCATCCCCCTCCACCCTGTTTATTACAGGTAATACAACTTCCTCTGACCAGTCTGCTAATTTTAAATGTAGCTCTTCAGGTTTTTGTCTTGTCCAGCTCTATGTCCCCCTGCTGGGAGAATTCACATAATTTGTCTGGAAGTCTACATCCAGTTTGATAAGTGTCACAGGAAGGAAATGTTTCTTTTAAGAATGGTGTCTCAGAGATTTTTATATTGCTGAGTTTCTCCCATTCCTTCAGTCAGTTCTCCTTTAAGGTCATCCTAGCTAATGCTGAATTTGGGCACACACAGAGTGGCTGACTCCACAGGGAATCAGTGGATGCTAGCAGCAATTACATGGCACACAGCAGTGCAAAACAGTACCGAAGAGATTTTTAAACAAAACTCTGTCCAGATGAATACACTCGGTAGCCAATGTGCTTGAACTTGAGTGAAACAAATACTCTGAGGGTATTTCTCAGCAGAATTCTAAATAGCTTCCATCCTTAGTTTTTTATGATGGGAGTCTGTGAAAAAAGGAAGAAGAGAAATGGAAAAAACCTTTAAAAGCTGATATAGCAAGGAACTGTGTTTGGGATGTGAGATTTGAAGAATGGAGCTGTGCCTGCCCACTGAAAGTCATATAGTAAAGGAAAACCAGTGTTCCATGTCAGAAACAAGTTTCCACAGTGCTCAACCCCAGCAGTCCCTTCAGCTGCTCCTGTGGACAGAGATCCGCAGACCCTCTCCCCACCCTGCATGGCCCCTCCTGTCAGCTCTGGGACGTGCTGCTGCAGAGAGAAGTGCTTGCACAGCTGTACTGCTGGGTTCTGTGAGCACCAGGGAAGCTGTGTAAGAAGTTAGTGATGTTAACAAGTGCAAACCTGGAGCCTAATGAGCATGTTTAGTTGCAGTGACACAATACATTTGATTTGTTCATCCTTCCTCCCATACAGAGGGTACGGGGTAACTGCAATTATTACTGTCAGAACAGTCAGTGTCAGCAATGGGGGGAAGGCCACTGCTGCTTGACTCATCCTGCAAGCATAAGCAGAAAGCCAAGCAGCAGAAGCAGGGCATGAAGTGGGGCTAGGGAGCAGGAATAAGAAATACTGCTTAAGGTCTTGTGAAGACTGTAGCTGTGATGCTGCTACCAGGAGCAGGATTTGTGCCTCTCGATACCTGAGAGGAATTGAGAACTGGCAAGCACCCAGAGAGAAGCAATAAAAATAGCCATGAATTCAAAGAAACTGTTCACTTCCCTATGCTCAGTGAGCATGGGGTCAGGCCCCGATTTAGCTGGCTGTGGGTGGGCTACAGCACATCTAAGATGCATGCTGGCTTCCACTGCCTGGTGATTCCTATCTGTCCTAAGGACTTTCCCCTCTTCTGATGCGTTCTTATTTCTTCCCTTCAACTCTTGTTCCCTGCAGCCCTCCTGGATCTGTCTGCTGTCCACCAGGTGGAAGGGGAATGGATGGGCTCCACCACTTTACCATGTACATACGTGCCCTCAGAAGGTTTCACACAGCAAACACTCACCTGGAGCATGGAGCGAGACCACAGCACCTCCACCATCTTTCGTAGGGATGAATCTGGTGACCACATCTTGTTGGCTCGGTTCCGAGACCGGGTCAGTGTCCCAAAGCGCAGCCCAGGGGATGCCTCACTCCATATCATGAACCTTGAAATCCCCGACAGCGGACACTACACCTGTCAAGTCATCTGGAGGTCTAAAAATAACAGCTTGATAACAAAGGATGTGACCACTACAGTTAGAGTCATCAAAGGTAAATCCAGCAATAAAGCCCTGCTCTTGTATAAACAGCCTAATCCATGGAGCATGTAGGAGAAAAGGGAGCTGGCAGGATGTCTTTCTCCCCATACTGTCTACCCATATCTCAAGCTAAGAGTTGAGGTAGCTGGATGAGAAGAGCCTCTCCTGTCCCTGGCTGTGTTAGTCCCTCTCACCAACCAAGGAGGAACTGATGCTCTGTGGAGGCACTGTGGAGGGGTACGGATGGATCGGGGAAGGGGGAGCAGTTAGTCAGCACCCCAGTCTGGATCTACCAATGGGCCACTTGATCCATAGGTGTTTGAGATAGCACCCAGGTCTGGGTTTCTTTCTGTGCCGATAAGCAGTGTCTCTGGTTCTTATAGCAAACGGGAGAGCAAGCGGGTGTCATACTAGCCAAATGTGCCTTCTCCCTTTTGCAAGCATCCTCAGTGTGCATTTAAAAAACAGTCTTTCTCAGGGGGGCTACTGGGAGGGATGGGACAGGCACCGAACCAACAGAGCATGGCCTTCTGTGATGTGGCAGTAGCAACGGGTGGCAAGGCTGGTGTGAACCTTGCCCTAGGCACAGGTGTGTAGAGCTCAACCTATGCAATGCAGTGGAGAGGCGATGCTGCCTCTGCCCCTTCGGGGAAAAAGGCTTAGGGCTAGAGCGTGAGCTGCCATGGAGCGAAGGAAACCTGCCCCCATCGCTGCCGGGGTCAGCACAACCCAGGTCCCTCTGCTTTGTCTTCCAGTGCCAGCAACCAAGCCCATCATCAGGGCCGGCGCGCTGGGGCTGATGGTGCCAGTGGGAGCCAGGACCAGCCTGACCTGCGTGGCCCACGGCTCCCCACCCATCAGCTACCGCTGGTTCCGGGCAGTGCCAGGGGGGACAGCCCTGCCGCTGAGCAGCCAGGCCGAGCTGACGTGGGACAGCCTGCGGCCTTCCGACGCGGGGACATACTACTGCGAGGCAGAGAACAGAGTCGGGGCAGGGGTGGTGCAGCGGAGCGATGCCGTGGAGCTGGTGGTGAGAGGTGAGTCCCCAGCCTGTAGCTCCTCACCTCAGCGGCAGGAACCAGTGAGGCAAATGGTTCCCGTTCGCCCAGGGATCAGGCACGTAGCACCGAATGTGAATCGTGTCTGGATCGCTGCTCAGGAGGGGAGCCCGGCTCTGCCCTTGGCACATCTCGCTTTTGCCTGGCTTGGAACCCAGGCAGGGCGTGCAGCAAACCGTCTGATGAGCGGTCTGTCCCACAGGGTCCCCAGTCACACAGCCACCCACGCCTGGGACCAGCCGGCACACAGGACCCCCACTCCCCTCAGAAGGCAGCGAAGCTCCCCATGCGCTGGGAGGTGAGTGACCTGGGCGGCAGCGACGGGCTGGTTCCACCCTGCTGGCATGCAAATGGCACAGGCTGTCAGTGAGACAAGTCCACGTGCTGGCCCTCTGGGGCTGCACATCCTCTCTGGAGAAGGATAGAAATGGTCCCTCCTGTTGCCTGCAAGCAGGAGCTCAGATGGGGGTGGATGGGGCAGAGCCCCCCAACAGCAGCCGAGCCAGAGCTTGGGAGACCATGGGCTGGGAAACCAGGGGTCACACAGCTTCACCGGGAGTCGCCCAGGGCAAGACCTGCCTTAGGGCTCCGTGCCCTGGGGAGCCTTAAGGTGCTGCTGCCTGTGGTGAAGCACACCGGGCCAGCCGGGGAGGGAGGGAGTGGGGAAGTCCCGCAGCAACCTGGGTGAGTCCCAGCGAGGCAAAGCTGAGGCATCCCTGGCTGTGGTGTAGCCAGCTGCAGGTGCTGGTGCCGAGAGCCACAGGGCTGCCATTGGCAGGGGTTGATGGCCAGGGAGAGGACAGCATGAGTGCCACAGGTAGTGTGTGAGGCTGCTGTCAGAGAACATACAGGATGACACGGCAGAGAGAAAATTATGGCTCGTCAGTATGGGAGCAGGTGAGATGGGTGTTTTCGTTCCGTGCACCTCAGCAGTGACAGCCTTAGATAATGCAGACTGCCCGGGCAGAGCTCACTGCCTGCCTCGCTGCAGTGGCTTCACCAGGAAAAGGCTGCTCTGGCTGACACTGCAGGGGAGCCCTGGGACCCCTTGCAGTGCGTTCACCCTTGTGCCTTGGCAGATCTGTCCACAGCAACGCTGTCCGCCAGGAATGATGTCGTTTCAGAGAGGGCTCCCGCTGCCACAGGTGAGCAAGCCCCTTGGTGAAACACGCACGATTTGCACGGGGAGGGGCAGGCTGGCAAACACTCCGCAGACCAGACCCTGAAACCGACTGCCCCATTTTGCATTTTGCATTGCTGCTGGGAGCAAACCCCGGGCCTGTCAAACGCAGGCAGGAGCTGCCCTCTCGGCCGCCCATCCACAGGCCTTCCAGAGTTGATGTATTGCCTGATGCTTGCTTTCTGATTGTGCCTTAACGGGGATGAAAACGTTAACAACGATCTCAGCCCCAGCCTTCACAGTTTGTCCGTGTTTTGGCCACGGCTGAGGCTTTCACCGGGCTGTCAAGCAAAGTCAGCGGTCACTGGAAGCTTTCAGCAGCCCGAGGGTCCCCCGCCACCCGCGCTGCTCAGAGGGCTCCGGTCCGCTTGGCACAGCGCGGGCTGCGGTCCCCTCACCGCACCCCCCGCACCTCCCGCAGGGCCGCCGCGGGCCGCGCTCTCCCCGCACCTCTACGCGCTGGCGGCCGCCCTCGGCGGCGTGGCGATCGGCGGGCTCCTGGCAGCGCTGCTGTGCCGGCGGCGGACCAAGGCGGGTGAGCAACGGCACCGGGCGCGGCACGGGGGCGGCGGGGCGCTGGGCGGTGCTGAGCCCTCCGCAGCTCCATATCCCCTTCCTCCCTTGGCCCCCTTCCTCCCCTTGGCCCCCGTGTTCCCCGTCACCCTGCCTCGGCCCCTGTCCTGCCCCAGCCCCAGCCGTCCTCCCGCAGGGAGAGGCAGGGTGGGAGGGTGACTCCTGAAGGTGGGAATACCCGGGAGCAGCTGGGTTTGGTTGGTTTATTTTTGTTTGTTTGTTTCTTGTTTCTCCCTGTGGCACATTAATCATAAAATTCATTGATACATTTCTTTGATTATTTTTTTTTCCCAGAACCCACCTATGAAGTTGCTTTGTGAGTATAATTTTTTCATCTGTGATGTTGAGAAGACTTTGAGGGTATCATACCGACATTTGTTTCAGAAAAGCTTATTTATTCATAAATAAATGAATATTTATGAATATTCATAAATATTCATTTTTATGAATAAAAAATGGGGGGGGGGGAAGGGCAGGGGCAGGTACTGAATACCTTGACAGTCTAATTTATTAGCAGCATCAGGACATTGGACATTAATGTTTTAGTGTAGGAGTAGTAACTCATGCTAATCTTAACCTGTAAACACTTCATATTACTTTTCTATTAAGAGTTATATCTATATCTATATAATTACTTCTGATTTAGTTCTCCTTTTTAATGTTTCTTTATTTCAGCCATAGCACTGCAGATGTCACAAGACTGGACACTGCTGCAGAAGTACCTGTTCAGTGCCTAAAAGAAAAGATAAATTTGGAGGCTGACACATCCTATGAAATTGTCACCATGAAAGACAACAACTATGACAATGTATGCAAGGGCAAAAATCCTGAGTATGAGACCCTTTTGAATTCCATGGAATCAGAATATGAAGTGCAAAACTTTTAGCAGAGTACCACATTTCCACATGAGCAGCTGCAGATACTGAATGGTAAACTTTACCAAGGGAAACTATTCTTCCTGCCTGCCTTCTCCTCTGATAAATATACCAGTCTTGTTGCCTTTTTTTTTTTTTTTTTTAAATCCAGGGGAACTGCATAACCACCTTAGTCTTTGGCAAATGAGTCCCTGCAGTTGGTGCAGAAACACTCAGCCAAGTGCTTATCTACCTACCTACATTTATTTTTTTAATATAAAAAATAATTTCTGAGCAGCCTCCAGGTCAAAATGTTGCTGGGTGCAACACTTAGCTAATAATACCAGCAAGATGTACTCTCAAGTGCATGTTCCCCTGTTAGGACATGCCGGCAGGTGAGGAGTCAGGAATTGTGCTAGAAATGGATGTCCCCTGGATTTTGCAGTTCAGCAAATACTGGTTGTACAGCTTGTTTTTTGCCTTGAATCTTACAGAGGATAGTATGGGGACAGCAGAGGGGGTTAATATGCCAGGAATATCACTTTTACAATCAAACTGGAAATGGCCCTGTAGGTAATGAACCTCCTAACTGCCACCTTGTTTTTCTCCTGAAAAAGCAGAGCTGGTGTTGAAAAAAATTATAACATTTTAATTTTCAATGTGGAAGACAGAGGCATGATAAAATAGAAGCACTGCAGAGAAAAATTTGAGACATTTGTAATAGCAATTGTTCAAGGAACCTCTCTGGACTCAACAGACTGGCACTGATTTGCTGTGTGGGACATGACACTGGTTCCGAAGTCTGGTTACAACTGTGATAGTTACGCTGATCTACATTATGGGGATGCTGTGAGCATTCATGTTTGTAAAATGCCTTGAAAAGTGCTTGGTTAGTGCAATGCAATTTCTTTCCCAGGGCAAATATGAAATGCTTCAAAGGATTTTGTGGCATATGGATTCTGACTTCCTCGTTGTTTTACCATCCAGCGCCTTCATTCTTCTGATGCTGGCAAATTTATGCTTTTGCTCTGTCTTCTGGTTTAGTTCTGCAGAGCAGGTAGGGAGGGGTACAGTCATGGCCACAGTTTGACTTGGAAGTCTGAGTTGAGCTTAACCTTTTAAACAGGAGAGGACAGAAGGGAGGCATCGAGTCAGCCCACATCAGACTGCTCTCATCACTACAGCCCTCACCACACCCCAGAATGGTACATGTCACAGTTGTGGTGCTGCCTCCACATGCACATTCACAAGCTTGCAGCCACCTACTGCTGCAGTATAAGCACACTAGGGTACAGCAGTAGTCTCTTGGAACAGTGATGAGAGCAGACAGACCTGAAGCCGATGGAAGAACTCCCATTTCAGTGAGTTTGTTAGAACCAGCAATACTCGAGCTGGGCAAGTTTAGGGCTGAAGGGTTTCCAATATTGCTTTTCTTCCAGATGCTTCAGCTAGCTCTATTTTTTTTTTAGGAATGCACCACTCACAGTAGGGAGGTAAATGTAATGCTGCTACATCACTGTCAGAGGTTAGAAGGGCTCTAAGGCTGCTTAGTGCTAAGTCTTCCTTCATGGCCAGTGGAAGGCTGAAGTACACTCAAGAGTCTGAGAAGAGAGGTCATCTAAAGGATATAAAATGCCTGTGATTTAGCTCAAGTGTCAGAATCCTTAACTTCCACGTCATAGCATTGCTCAATACATTGCTCTAAAAGGCAGTTACCTAAAAAAAATGTTGTGCAGCTCCCTATTTACTGTTTCCTCAAGGACTTGAACATTTTCATCCCAGCAAAACCCAGCTGTTTTCTACCAGCCCACACTGCAAATGATTTTCCTTGCAAGAGACTGAAGCCTGGGGGGGTGCAATCTGCGGCTTGCAGGCTTTAGAGCTGCTTGGCTAGTGACTCTTACAGATCTGCCATGCTTCTGCTGCCAACTGCTCTAAAATTACAAGATCCACTTAAAAATAGGAAGCCCACATTCCCTACGTTAGTTTTAAAACTCTTCTTAGAATGTGGATTTTGGCTTTTTTGTTTTGCCAGGTGGTTCCTGTGCTACAAGGCCATACTTTGCACTGCGAAGGCCTTCCTCTCAATCAGGAGGGCTGATCTTTGAGGTCAATCTTTAATGCAACACTAGCCAGGCTCATGAACTTCAGATTACGTGCAGCCCTGACAAGGAGCCCTTAGTCTATAAACCCAGTGCTAATGGGGTGTAGGCTTGGCTGTGGGGTGTGTGATCTCTTACCTGTGCTTAAACATACTCTAGGGCATTCCTGGGTCTCTTGCAAAAATAAAACAGAGGGTATGTTCCTTTTTACAAAGGCAGCAAGCTGCGTGCTTAGCTGTTCCTGACTTCAGCTGAAGCACATTTCCTGCAGGAAGCTTTGTTACCCAATAGCCTGGTTTGTTTACTCTTTGTTTATCATTAGCATCTTACATGTACTGGCACTGCTGGTGTGCTGCCATGGTGCGGGGCCCTCTGTCTGTCAGACCCCTCTGGACACTGGCTGCCGTCCTATGGACTCGGCAGGCAGAACACCAGTAGGGATGGGGATGCTGCCTTAAGTAAAGCAGATTTTTAGGGACAGTCACTTGGCTTCTGTTAAGTGCCAAGTAAAATCTTCTGTTAAGATTTAACAGTGGCTTCTGTTAAACCTATCAGAGCAGCTGGGGGAGCATGGTGAAAGCAGACGAGCTTGGGGTCATGCTGAGAAGGAGTTCTCAGCACTAACTGGAACCCTCATGGCTGTTGTCTCCGCTCACTCAGCTCTTCCCTTTCCCTGGGCCAGCAGCCTAAGAGCAAGGTCAGGCAGATTTTTATGGCCTGAGTGCTGGGAAGAACAGAACCTTGCTTTTACCTTCAGTGCCCTGAATTACAATGGCACATCTTCTTTAGGACATTAGTGATTATAAGATAAGATCAGAGAGAAAATTTTACTGTGTCTTTTGCAGGGTTTCACATCCACAGCAGTGGGCACTGAGGGGCAGTTGTGCTGCACTGCCAGGCTGCTGTGCTTCCCAGCAGCAGCCAGCGGGGCCTGGCCATGCTCCCAGGCTGCACAGCACCTGCTCTGGGCTTGCATGCTGGTGCTGCCCTCCCACTTGGCTAGCTGCCCTCTGCCAAGGACAAGCAGTGCTGGAACCCCTAGAAATATGTGTGAGGGGCTCTTCTGCCTTGCACCTAGGACTGAGGTAGGCCATCCCTGCATTGCTGTGTGTTCATTGTAGCTCATGCATTCACTGCAGAGCGCACCTCCCAGAAGCTGACCTTGGAGACACCAGGTTGAAACAGAAGCTGTTGGCATTAGTGGTCTCAGGGGTAAAGCAAAACAAAAACAAAAACAAAAACAAAACAAAACAAAACAAAACAAACAAAAAAAAAAAAAAAAAAAAAAAAAAAAAACAGGGGAATGGGGAGCTGCAGCTCTGTGCATGCAGGATAAAAGCATCTGGTGTGAGGTCAATGTTATGTGGGAGAGGAACTGAAAACTTCTCAGCTTCCCCATCCTCAACACTGCAGATCCAGCCCCAAAATGCAGGATGAGACACTCTCTTTCTCCTCTCCAAAGTCCATTCTCATTCATTTACAGCTAGCCTAATGGTTTTTGCAAGATTTGCTGCCTTTATAAGCTCATGATTTCAATTTTCCATTACTATATAACACCATTATTTTTCCAAATTTTGGTTCATCCCAGCACTGATCTGCTCTGAGGAGCTCCAGACAGTTTCTTCAGAAGCCCTGAAGTCTAGAAGAGGCTGCACAGGAAAAAAAAAAAAAAAAAAAAAAAAAAAAAAAAAGTAGCAGATGCCCCAGGTGAACACATCTCAAGTACCTCAGTTGCCCTCGAGATGGGGCAGCAAAATGTCTTTGGTCATCAGCAACAGACCAATGGAAACAAAAAGCCTTTCTCCAGTGCATAGGTTGTTGTTTTTCTCTATGCAGTGAGTGTGGTTGTATTTTATTTAAATCTTTGGCATGTTTGGCAGTAAAAACTGTTGGAAACAACATTTTTCTTCTGAAAGCTGAAAAGGGCTTTGCTGTTGTGTACCTCCATCAAACAAAAGAACTTCTCCCTTCCTTGCACTGGTCACTTACCCGGTGACATGACTCATCCACTAAAGGCCAGCTCCGCACCAGCACAGAAAGGAAACCTCAGCTTCCTCTCTGAAACTACCGAGTCTCCAGAAAAAAAAAAACACACTATTTCTAGTGGCTAGCACATTGTCATGAGACTTGCAGCTCTACTGCAAAGCAGAGCGCAGTTGCAGGGCTTGTACAACTGTGGGGACGTTGGCTTCTAAACTGCCAAGTTTGCCTTGGACTTCAGAGCCCTTCTGTACCTGCCATTCTAAACAGGGAGAAAAGAGAGGAAGTATCCAATAAAGGAATTCGTACCACTGTAATTTGGTATTTCCTGTAGAAGAGGAAGGGGTTAACTTTCTTCCCCTAAAAAACAGGGGCAAACTTTTCTGAAAGTAAAACCATAAATGAGGAAACAACAGTGAAGAGCTTAAAAGGAATGCTCAGCTAGCTGCTGTGCAGAAGACAGGCCTGTTGAAACCTTGAGGTCTGTGAAGGCAGAAAGGGTTGGGATTGATATATCTGCCTGCTGCATTAAGGATCCACAGGGAGACAAAACAAACCCTGAAATAATAGACTTTGTTCTCTTCTGAAGCTGACCTCAGTGATAGAGATCAGGGTGATGTCCATGAGTCATGCGTAGGTGCAAGAGAGAGACCACGGGAGTGTGAGTCACAGTGACTAGGACTGTGTTTGTCCAGAAGCATACAATAAGCCCTACTGATAGGACTTATTCAGAAAGCAGAACATAATTTGCTTAGGCAATGCCATATATTCGTTGGTCCCAACATTGTACAAACTCCAACTTCTAGAAAATATTTAGCAAGAAATAGTTGCAACAGCAACAAAAAAAAAAGTGTCTTAGTATTAAAGTTTATCAATGTTGCGAAATTTACTGGTGGTATTGTCCTAAAAAAAGAGTCAGTGAAGTGTTGGGAATTTCTCTCAATTTCTGAATTTTTTAATTTAAATGCTTTCAGGGAGTGTGGTTTGTCATACTGGGTTAGGCACTCACCCTCTGTTACCCCCACCCCAAGAAATATCTCCAGCTATATATCTGATACATCACATCAGTTATTAAAAATGTTGACCGATCATTAGATCTTCAAGTAGATGATTTAGAGGGAATTATTTTCATAAAATGGCAGAAATATAGCAAAAACTACAATAGGCAACCTTGTTGCAAGTGCTGACTAGGAATAATCAGACAAAAACAAGGAGTCTTCTCCGAACAACAAGGTTCCAAGAAAAAGCAATGGACTCCATAGACTTATTTAAAAAGAGCTGGAACAAACAAGCACTTCACACTGGCTAACAGAATAGGGGGAAGTTAAACAGAAACCTCATTAATTTGTACTCCAGCTTCAATTAAAAAAAAAAAAAAAAGATTCCTACACATCAAAAAAAAAAATCTACCAAAAATGCTATTAAGGCTAATGTTTCCATTACCCACATTGGTATGATTATAGTTGCCAGAACCTTTATTAACTGAACAGGAAATTTATTAATAGCTTGCTAGCCAGTGCTGTGACACAGAACAGTGTTGTCCTTGGCTGTTTTCCCAACACAGAGGAATGGTACCAGCATCACTTCTGCAACAGTTTGCCATTAGGATTACACCCCAACAGGCACTTCTGAAATTGGGGTGTAAAGGAAACCTGACAGCATGGCATCAGACAGGCATTCAGCAAGTTTGCTCAATACCTCGTCACATTTACGGAGAGGATCAGAATGCAGATGCAAAGGCTCCTGCCCAAGTCAAGGAAGGAGTCGGTTCCCTCGGTGTGCAGCTGTGTTGCTCAGCAAGTGCCTCACTTGGGGTATTTGACAAACTGACACTCTGCCAAACTGAGTGTCAAACTCAGCTTGTCAAATACACGCAGTGCTGCACTGCAGCTGTCTCCAGGCTCACAGTCTTCACTGAGATGCTGTCCTGGACGAATGAAAAGGGAAAAGAAGGATTGAACCTGCTGTTAACTTCAGAGACTTTTTCCAGTTCACAAACTGTCATCATCCCGCCCACATTTCCCCCTCCAACATTTTTCTTTGGGTAAGGGAGAACCACACAAGCAGACATTGCCTTCTGCTGAGGGAAATGTCCACTATATTAGTTCAAGGCTAAAGCTCTGTGGAGCTGGAAATGATGCCAAGTTTTAAACTAACCTTCTGCCTTAGCTATACATCTACCTTGGTGGCTTGAAATATTGACAAAATGTCCATCCAAATGCTCAGACATACAATTTGGGTACAACATCATGAAGACCAATGTCTCTCTAGACACACAAAGTCTAGACAAAGACCCTGAGAACATACTGCAATGGAACAGTTCTGCATTGGTTAGAGATAAGGGCATGATAATCTAACAGACTTTTCACAGCTTTCATTTTTATTCTTCTAAATTTAAACAAGATTTTCAGGCTTCTCAGATTTATTTATTTATTTTTAATTTGGGTCTCTATGGTACAGGTTGGGGTGAAATCCTGGCTCTACACATGCTAAAGATGAAGTTCCTTTTGGCAGGAATAGCCTTAGGGTTTTACCTCTTACTGTACCACTGATAGCTAAAAAACAATCTTTTTACCTAGACCTAAAGATTTGAAGAAGGAACCCTTCCAGACTGTCTGAAAAAGAAAAAAAGGTACAACTCTGCCCCTGTGCATGCATGTAGAGGATCACCACTGGTTCTTCTGGAAGTAAGATCAGCTGCCAACATTGGCTCAGAGTCCAGTGCAATGTGTGTTCACTTTTGAAAAAGAAAGAAAGAAAAAAAAAAAAAGTAAAGAAAAGAAAAAGCAACCACAGCAGCTTCTGGTCCCTGTAAACTTCAGTCACAAACTCTGCCTGCCAGCATGAGGCTGCGCTGTTACATGTTATAAAGACTGTGATATTAAATAAAGACCAGAGCACCACATGGAGAAACAGCGAACTTCTTTGGGAATGAAGTGAAACTTTCTCTTCCGTTGTCAAACCAACCCCCTTCTGCTTCATTTTGAGCTCATAGAAGAAGCCTCTCCTGCAATAAGTGGAGTTTTTCACCCTAATACACTGACACAATCCATGTTCCTTTAAGTATGAATATAACCTCCTCCTCCCAGTATTCCTTAGCACAAAGACCAGAAGATGCTGTCAACACCCCTATTCCTTTAACAAGAGTATTAATTAAATTCACAAAAGCACTTGAAGAAAATTAAATAAAATATACACAAGAGAAGATATTGCTAAGTACTACCATGCACCATGTCATTCAGGGATGTTGACAGTTCAGAACTTGAGTTTAAAATCAATCTGAAATTCTGACATGTGCAACTCTTGGGAAAATTTATCATGACTCCTAAACTGCACACATTTTGCATAATGCTAGTTTAGTGTCATTCATGTTCTCTGCAGGCCAGGCCCAGCTGTAGACTAGTTTTAATCATGGCACTTTTAGCTTCCTTCCTAGTCCCCTGATCTTAATTTCACATAACCAGCAGCACCAGTTTCTGAGAAAGCAGCCAAACTATCTTTGGTATCAAAATGAAAAACTAAAATGGTTATGCTAATTATATTTTGGAAGGCTGACCGTTAAAGACATGAAAGTAGAAATCAGCTGCAGTATGCTAACAGCATTCCACAGAGAGCAATTTATTAAATCTTTTCTATCCGACTTCTGGGGCTCTGTTTTAAAAGGATGATCATAGGATCCCATCAATAAGAAAAGGGATTTTTTTCTTTTTAATGTAAAAATACAAAATAAAAAATGACAAATATGTGTTGTTTATACAAGCTCCAAAACCAGCAGAATGAAAAACGGTTTAACAGTAAAGAAACAGCTACAACTTTAAAGATTAAATCAACTTCTAGATGAGGTTACTACAAAAGCTTTGCAATTCTTACATTCCCCCTACCCTCCACATTACACCTTTAGTATGATGTAGGTAGCAAATAGCCCTTTGTTCTGGCTCTTAATTCGGAATAGATTTCAACCACGGTGGATAAAAGCAACATGTTGCAATGGATAGACGAAGTGTGTGCATTTCATGAGTATTTGAAAATTCATGTCAGTGCTAATAAGCTGATTTAAGATCATTCTAGCAAAAGACTTACTGGTTTAACCATGATTCCAACTGATGCGTGGTTGGTCAAATTTCTCTCCTTTCAAATCAAACTCTGCAGTACCATGGCAAACGAAAAAAATGTTCTGAAGGGTTCACATAGCTGTTGTTGGTCTTAATAACACCAGGATGAGCTCTCTTTGCCTGAAAATGCTTTCAGTAAAGAGTTAGATACCACATGCTAACTACTGGTAGCACAGAGGTAAAAGAAAAATAAACCTGTCCCCCCATAATACCTCCCAGACATAGCAAAGTGTGTTGGAGAGGCTGAGCTGCACAAAGACAGAGCAGGCTTTTCTGCAGGTATCAGTTACCAGACTTGCCTCAACTTCAATGCTGATTTCTACCAGTGGGAGATCTGGCCTTGAGAGGAGGAAAAAAAAAGGGGGTGGGGGGGTGAGGAGAGAGAAAAAACCCACAGCATTGCTTCTGCTATTGCAGCTTAAAATAATCCCCCATTGCGGCTTTCTGAGGGGGAAAACAGCCACAAAAAACGTTGCTGTCAGCAACAGATAAGAGGAGGGTCACACAGTGGAGATAATTCTATCAGCAGATGGGAACAGAGCTTTCTACCCCACCCTGTAATGATAGTATCTCATTTGAATGGATTTTTCATTGTCAGAGCTTCTGGTTTCAGGCTGAAATGGGTATTTCCAACTAAAGGCTTGGTGTCATAAAACAGACTGAGCAATCAAGTGCATACTCGGGGGGAAAAACAGAAAGAGTTTTTCTTCCTGCATTCTCCAGTAAGTCCCTTACTGAAGTCACAAAATGCTTTGTTTCCAGCCACCACCCCCCCCCCCCCCTCCCAAGCCACATACCATCTCTCAGGGATTTTTACATGGCTGTCAGACAGCTCTGCAACTTGTGATGAAAATAAATGAAAAGTAAAAATATTGCATAGGTTTGACTCTAAGCCTAATAACGTGTAAACATGTGGCTGTGTGTTTTTCACATGCTGAGTGGCAACGTCCTAAGATGCATATTGCTGCAATTTCAGGACATGCAGTTATTATTCAAGATTTGAGCTGGAATCAAGGCCATCACTGTTTTCTGCTTAGTTAAACCCAAATGGCAGTGTGGATTGGAAGCAAGAATCCTCACAGATCTGCGGTGAATGGGGTCTGCTGATCCTGGCCACCAGTAAACCTTGGGACATGCTTCTCCTAGGAGCTAGAATTCTTTGTTATGACCAAATCAAATTCAAATGAGAGTTTGCTCGTGGCAGACTTCCACATGGCTGCCATTCTGATCCATTTAGGATCTTCTCATGCTCCCAACCCTGCAGCTGAAACTGCTGTGAGCTTTGCCTGACAAATTTTGGAATATTTGGCTCAGGAGGTTTAATCTCATCTATAAGGCAGGCTCCAGCAAAGCGTGGAGCTGAAGCCCAAAGGGTTTGCTTCACTGCAGGCAAGCTGGGCTATATATGCAAGTGTATCTCCCTGTAGCACATCTGACTTGGATAAGACAGCTAAAAACGTAAAAACAGAGCAAGAGGCCGAATGCTGCAGCCAGTTCATTAACAACTCCTGCTCTTTAGCTGGCACGTCCCAAAGCAGCTCTAAGCTATCTGCTCTGCCATACAGTTCAGCTCCAGTCTGAGCCCATGCAGCCAACAGCACCATATTCTGCTTTGCCAGAGGGCTCACAGGGGTGAAGTACAGAGCCTTTTCAGTGGCATATGAATTGCTTGCTCCCCAGGAGGAGCTGTGAAACTGCAGCATAGGGCAGCAGCTTTAGGGACAGCCCCATGCCTGGAGGCCTTTACTCCTCCTGGCTCTGCAGCAACTGGGAAGGCCCTTGCCTCTCCTTTCAGGGGTCTTTGGGCTGCAGGTTACTGGACAGAGTGGTGACCAGCTGCCTTGTCCTAAGGAAAATTCCTAGGCACTGTGACTTGGCGAGTACAGCCACTGCCCCAGTTTTGGTGAGGCGCTGAGTGAGAGCCTGAAGTGCACCAGTGAGGACTATCCCTAAGCAGCTGCAGGAAGCATAAACCAGCCACACGTTCCTGGAACTGTCTTCCTGTGCTACCCTGTTACCTCTACCACACAGCCCTGTGTACGTTGTTTTTTGTCCTTGCTTTTGTCAAAAGACTGAGAGCAGCCCCCCCACCACCCCTGCCTTGCTCAGCCCAAGCTGTCTGTCCCCTCTGCCTATCCCTGCTTCACAATAAATGTCTTCTCCATCTTGTCCTGTGAATCTGACTTTCACTCTTGCTCCTAAAAGTGAAAAGCATAATCCAGCACTTTTACCCGACAGACAAATTAGCCCCACTTCTAATGGGAAACTACACAGTCTCCTACCTTGTGCCTCAACATCTCCTTCCCATACCTTCCCTCTGTTTTTGCCATGGAGGCTCTCCTGGTATCACTGTCCATCTGTCCGCACGCAGCACTGCGCTGGCAGGCACTGTCACACAGGAGACAGCAGTGCCGCCCGCCCCTCTGCCCAGCACAGCACGTCGGTGCTGCGTTGGTGCCCTCACCACACACTTGGAGCCTTCCTCAGCAGGGCTTTGCAGAGCTGCACCCCTACTGCAGCAGTTCAGCGCCAGGCCCAGGTCCTGGACAGGCTTTCCTGCAGCACCCAAGATCAAACCCGCCTCTCCTGTCAGATCAGCACTGTACTCGTGGTAAAACCTGTCCAGTGGGACAGCGAGGTAGATGGGCCAACCCTGCTATCCCCCCTCTTCAGGAGCAGGTACACCCCTGGCAGGCACACAGCTGAGGTCTGGGACATTCAAAAGCAACCCTGATCCAGACCTCAGGCCTGGGATTGCTGTAAGGGACAGAAAAACAGGATGCACTGGCCCCCGCTCCTGTCTGCCCCACAGCTCAGGGCGCAGAGAGTCACAAGCACAAAGCACCATTCAAACACTTGGGTGAGGACATTGTAGGTTTCACTTACGGCTGCAGGAACAGCTTGCAAGGGCAGGAACCAGAAACACTGCAACCAGCACCTCACAGCTTGTGCAAAAGCACCGAGAAGGGCCTGATAAACCTGTTACCTGGCATTGCTGTCTGTGTGCCCTCCCGCATCCCCCCGTACTCACCTTTGATCTCCAGCCCCTGCTCTGGCTCCTCCGCGGTGCTCACAGGACTCTGCCTTCAGCTGTGAAGGGGAGGGAAGGAGGTGCGCGGGTGACCACTCATCTGACAGCCTGGGGTCAATGGGCAGTGAAGAAAAGGAGCTGAAGGGCATGGCCGCGCCTGGCTGGGACACCAGCTCTCCCTGGTAAAACCCTCCTCCATCCCACAACTTCCCCCACTCTTCGTTTGCGGTGTCTCATCTATGACTAATTGAGATCAAAATCTCCCTACAGCCAGCAACTCATCTGTAGCATGTGTGCGAGCCCAGTGGGAAGCACGTGCATCCCAGTACCAAGTAGGCTATGTACACATGATATAAATTGTCATTCACCCTCATCAATGAATCAGGGTCCCAAGGACAGCACTCTCTGTCTGAGATAGGAGATGTCTGCATGCCCTAACCCTGTGCTTGCAGAAGTATACACTGCCCCATACCACAGCTCCTCCCCAAAGGGAAATACCAAAAAAGCTCCTCTGGTTTAGGAAGATGGGCTCCCAACATGGAGGGGAGGCAACCCAAACCTGAGCTGGCTCTGGTCTCCTGGAAGCTGGTGGTGTAATGGAGGCAGAACAGCTTTCTGCATTGTCAGGGATGCAGACATTGCACATGTTTTTGCACCCCACCACCAGTGGTCCATGGGGCAACCACCCCCAGGGACGATCCCCCCCATCCCCAGCCACCCGCTGGATGGGGAGCTGGCACCTACCGTGCTGAGCTAGCTGGGCCCCACCAGGGCAGGGGCACCAGCGTGGGGCTGGCCCCAGTGGTGGGGGCACAGCCCAAGCACACAGCTCGTTTTTGAAGGGGCCGCTCCTCCTTTGAGAGGAAGCTGCGAATGGGGAAGATAAGGCTGAGGTTAGATAACAGGAAAAGGAAACGTCTGGATGCGAGTGACAACACGTCCAAGTTGTGAAAGCTGTTCTTCCCATCCCGCACCAGGGTGCAAGGCTCAGAGCAGCCATGTCGCCTCAGCAGGCTTGGGCCACTGGAGCAGTGCCGCTTCTCTCTTCATATCCCAGCTGAAGGCATTGTCCTGCTGGCCCTGGTATTTCCACAGAGAAGTGGCCTGGACAGCTGTGCTGGCTGCCCACAGCCAGCCACCCCTCGGCTGCCCAGCCCACAGCAAAGACAGTCTGTGGGGGACCAGAGGAGCTGTGAGGAGGGTCACAGTGCAGGGCAGAGACTGCCAGGAAGGCTTTGGCTCAGGGGACAGGCTCATTGCCATGCTTGGCCCTGAGGGGTGTCACGTCTCTTGGCTGCATAAGGAGCAGGAACAAGGGCTGCTGAGGTTCATGCAGAAAAGTAAGAAATAATGCTTTATTCAGAGTCATTCGGAACTATAACCAAAGCAAGATCCTCTGTTTCTCATCTCCTGTCCTCTCATGGCCTGCCTGCAGTACTGGGTGCCCTAAGGTAGATGCACCATCATCTCTTAGCACTACTTCCATCTAACCTGCCTGGGAGCAAGGCCAGTCAACGCAACTCAAAACGGCAGCCAATGAGCTATCTGTGCTCAAACTATCAATACAGAAGCCAAACTGATGCAAGCAAAAGCAGAAGTTTTAGAGAGAGATTCCTTAGTGTGGACAATATGGCATACTATATTTTTTCAGGTGAAGACTTATCAGAAATGTCACTTTGTGCCTGCGCTGTCTCAAGACATGTTTGCCAACAGCTAGCAGTGCCAGTGTGATGAAGACTTTGTTATCCTTCTTACAGGACTGATCTTCTCACTCCCAATGCTCAGCTGCTATCTTTCCAATTTTTGCCTCACAGGTTTCCCTTCCCAGCTTCCCCAGTTCTGTCCTGGCTCTACAGCCAAACCGCACAGAGATCCTCCTGCTAATGCAGGCCCCAGCAGCAAATGCTAGAGGATCTCCAGCAGCTTTCAGTTACATTATCAGCATGCTTGGTCTGCAGCCACATATTTATTATGCTTCTGCAGTTCTGTCCAAATGCCTGATCTGGAAAACACACATGTCTGTGAGCAACTGTGTACTCTGAGTTCCTTGGGACTGCTCACAGGCTACTTCTGAGTCTACATGTGGATGCCAGGGAGACCAGCTTCCCTGCTAAAAGCAAAACTTGGCCCTTGTGCTGAGGGATAGTTAGATAATGAGCAATACAGTTACTCTCAAGTTCCTCTTTCATCTGCCTGTGTTTTAAAATATATAATAAAAGAGGAATGGAAAGGTCTGGTTGGTTTTGCTTTGGTTTTAATTGGAGGAAAGAAATAGGCTTGTTCATGTAGTTTGTATAGTTTTTTTCCTAGGTTTCTTTTTCACTCTCCCTTTCTCCTGCTTCTACCCAAAAGGCTTTGAAATGGGTCACCTTTGAGGTGAACTATGGAAAGAAAAAAATGGCAGATATTGTATTTCCACTCTTTGTGGGAATGCAATACAGAGGAGACTGGGAGACTTATTACAAGTCTCATGATTTTGTCCTGCTCATTTTTGTGTCACCTGGCTGCACCTGATAGCAAGCCTTGCAAATCTAGGAAAAAAATCACCCTGAAAAATGCTCTTTAGATATTTCATGCTCCCCTTGGGTGGTTACACAAATTATTGCCGACTTTACATGTCCAGAGCAAGAAACAGGCTGATAAAAAACAGTAATGAAACTGTACCAGTGTAAAAAGCAGCAAGATCATTTCACATCCAACAAAAAGGCACAAGGGCATGACTGCAATTAGTTAAAAAAAAAAGTTAGGAGCTGGGATTCTTCACTACCAACCTGCAATGAATCCCCTGTCTGCAATCTGCGCTACCATCCAAATCAGCTAGCTAACTGAAGTTTATTCAGTTATGTCAGCATGAGCTTCTGTCAGATTTCCTAGCAAATGTACCAACACAGACCTTTAACCTTGCAGCGGGTTGATCTAGTGCCCCTCTCCCGCCAGGATGCTTTTCTTCACACTGCACCTAATTGCCGTGCAGTCCTGCAGACCCATATTGATATATAAGGTGGATGTTTCACTGCAAAGCTGACTTCCTCTGTAGCTTACAAATGTCACCACACTACCCTACTCAGTGCAATAGCCTTGAAATTGCACTCAATATTTCCCAATCAAGCTAGCTTTTTCAGTACATTTGCAGCATGCAGCTCTGTGGCCTGCTCTGGGAAGAGGAAGAAGGGAGGTAGAGAAGCCGGGTGGATTACAGATGGCCAACAAATACCATCTCAGAGGTCTTTACACGTTGTTCCCCAAAGCACAAAATTGTCTTGGAAAACAACACAAAAAAGTGGCTAAAATGGGTCACAGAGACAGTCTGATTAGAACACAGTAAGTTATTTTGCATTTTAGTTTCAAGTTACTGTACTTTTTACCTGTCATAAAAGAAGCCATAAAGAATTAGCAGGTTTGTACTGGACACAGACACATTCAGGCTCATTCTACATCTTCACTGCTCTGTATTCATTAATCTTAACTGAGTTAGTAAAGGCCAGATGAATGCTGAGTTTGCACCACTAGTCAGTGTACCCTCACAGGACAGCAGGAGATTTTCCCTTGGGACAATTCATTGCATAAATATCTTCAAAGCCAACATGCTCCTCTTGATGAAGCAATTAAAGCTATATAGACCAAATCAGGCCTGATGACGATCATCAGTGGCTGCCTTTCATTTCAGTTTTCTCATACAACCCAGTTCTGCCATCCTGCAGCATCCAGAATTGAGACCAACAGTTTCTACACCACTATTCCAAGTGATGCAAACACAAATTATTTCTATATCAAACTAAAGAATACCAAACCACTCTCACTCAGATTCTCCTCTCATGTGAAGAGTGCTATTTGCCCCTGTACTGGCTATTTTCAGTATCATTTTCAATTTACTTGCCTCCATCCGTGGGTCTTGGGGAGCTTTCAGATTAAATCCCAAAGAGCCAGTCACTGCTGGACTTTCTCCTGAGCTGTCTCTGAGCAGCAGTTGCTGATGTACCCTGCGGGCAGCACAGTGTCAGTGCCTGAGGCTCTAAAGAAGACAGGAACGCATACTCCAGCAGTCAGAGCTGAGCACAGCACTTGGTGATTTCTCCAAATGTCACTGAACTCTTACACTTCTCCATGTTACAGGTGGTGTATGGCCAAAGCTGAGAGGTCCAGTGTGAGCCTAGCATAAATGTGTACATGGGGGAAAAAAACAAAACAAAACAAAACAAAACACAAACAAACAAACAAACAAAAACAGTACAAAGAGGGTCATTCGCATGAGTGACCATACCACTATGAGAGGTGGGGAGAGGAGGAGAAGGGAGGCCAGGAGCAATTCTGAGCCTTACATCTGGAAGCACTTACAGACCTGGATCGTCCAGGGAGTGGGAGGGGATGAGTGCTGTCAACCTCCAGAAGACAGAGGATGAAGCCACAGCTTAGTTCTAGGCACAAAACAAAAAACAAACAAACAAATAAAAAGCACACCTACACCAATGCAGGAAAAAAAATGACAACCATTTCTTAAAGGCAGTACAAGACGGAGGAGCTGTAGATGATACATGAGCTGTAAATGATGGAGGAGCTCACTGGGGAGACCCTCCTGTGACAAAGGCCTTTAACCCCTGCAGCAGGCCTCGGGAAGAATCTCTTTGGCCAGCAAGCTAGGTTAGAGACATTGCATCCTTGCCACCAGTCTGCCTGTGGACATAAGACTTCACCGCTAGTCTGCCTGTTTGCTAGTTCCTCCTGCAAAACAGACACTCGGGTAAACTCTGCCTCTCTGGCTAACCTGAGCTTTGAGTCATATGAAGATACTGTTTCCATTTTGAATCCTTACTTCATTCAAAAAAGAGAAAAAAAATAATCATGCTACATGGACCTTCCATTTTGCTGTAAATGTTATCTCCCTCCCTTCCTGCCCCCTTCTCAGGCAGGCACACAGTGGTAAGAATCAGAGGCTGGGCTCCAAATGGAGGATGTTTCTGTTCGTGGTTGATTATGTGTTTGTCACTTTTATTTTAGACTTCTGGTAAAGGAAAGAGAGGGAGAGAGAGAGAAGGGCACAAACCAAGAGGCTCAAAGCTGTTTTTCAGATGGACAGTGACAGATAAGAAAACCCCACTAACTGTCACAGTCACTGAATGACCCAAAAGACATTCTGTACAGCATACACTATTAATAATAGTAGTATAAAATGAACAATAGCAGTGTAAATATTGTAATTCCAAAGAAGTAGAAAAAGGGTGTCAGGCAGAGGTCAAGTGGGTTCAGGTAGCTTGAGTCCATTCCTACTCCACATCAATTAGTACAGCCTAGATTTTTATATGAGGAGAGGAAAACCAGACCGTCTTTTGTTTTCCCCAAGTCTGCCATCCCATTCTGCAGAGACCAGTTCTCTGTTCACGTGCTAAGAATCATAACCTCGCCTAGAGGTTTTGCTTCAAAATAAGCTCATATTGCAGCTATCTATCTCCTTAATTCCACCACATCTTCGAAAAATAAAGCCATATTTTCCTGTATTTGCTCCCTCGAAGGACTATGTTTTCTCTTGCAGTAATCTTGTTATGTGGCTAGGCAAAGAATAAGTCTTACTCTGGGTAAGACTTTGATAGACTATCTCTTAAAGAAATGTGGATCTGTAAAGATCTATTTTATTCACTGCTGATGTCAGTGCACTTACTGCATACACATTATCCCTATTAACAGAATCCTGCCCTAGAATACTAAGAAAACAGCCATGGATGCACCTTTTTTTTCTTTAGTAGCAGAATTTTTTAACAAGCATGTAAGTTATCAAAAAGCCAGGATTGTGCTGATTCTCTCCCCACAAGAGATTGTGCTTTGGATACTAATCATCATCTTTTACTGATCATGATAAGTTACCTTTCTC